AATCTTGCAGATCCTCACAACCATCATTTTGAACTTTATTCCACACATTGGAGAAGCTGTGCATATAAAGGAAGATCTAGACCGGGAAAGCCAGATGTTTCCATCTTTCAAGCTTACCCCAGTTGCTTGGAAGTGGCTGCCTTTAATACTATATGCCAGAGATTTTCAACCTTTTTCATCTCATGGCACACATAAACTAGTTACTAAAATTCTGCGACACACCAAAAATGTATTATAGTAGAGGCCCACTGCACAAATTCGTGCATGGGTGGAGTCTGGCCAGGCCACCCCGATTGGGGCAATTGGGCCAGGCTGGCCAGGGGGAGGAACTGTGGGTGGTTGGCTGGCTGGCCCCGCCCCCTGGTCAAACTCCTGGTTGAACTCCCAGTCTAGGGGAAAATTTGCATATTAGCCCTTTATTATATAGGATATTTTGCCGATCTGACAAAAAAACACATAGGTATAATTTATAATTTTTATTCATTCACACCTGACAGTTATTGTTGTGTTGGTGGTTGTCATTTTTTATGTGACAATCTAAGGGAAAAGAGGTCAGTGCCCCTCACTCAATAGTCAGGTCTTGCAAGTTAAAAATATATTTGCGGCACACCAGTGGGCCTGCTGCTGAAAATCACTGCTATACAGAGAAAAAAGATGTAAAGCCTTAGACTCATGGCTGGCTCATAGTAAGCTGAATAAGTGTTAGTCACTGGTATTTTTACTCATCAGAGCAGGAAGAACACCTGCAGGAAGGTGATGCTGGGTTCTCTGACACATGCCAGTGCCGATTTGATTAGCAAAGGTGGCTGGAGATAGTCATTAAGATTAACACACACACACACACACACACACACACACACACACGGAAGATCCCATCTAAGACTCCACAAGTGGGTGGCACAGATCAGACTCCCTTGCTGTTTTCCCCCCTCAAAGAGAATGTAAGATCAGATATGACTTCACTTTTTTCATTTGTAATTTTTGCTTACATCAATAAAAACTACTCCAGCTGAGATGATGGTTCAGTTAGCAGGGGTCCTCAAACTACGGCCCGCAGGCCACATGCAAATACAAATATTGTATTTGTTCCCGTTTTGTTTTTATACTTCAAAATAAGATATGTGCAATGTGCGTAGAAATTTGTTCATAGTTTTTTTTTTGTTTTTTTAAAATATATTTTATTGATTTTTTACAGAGAGGAAGGGAGAGAGATAGAGAGTTAGAAACATCGATGAGAGAGAAACATCGATCAGCTGCCTCCTGCACACTCCCTACTGGGGATGTGCCCGCAACCCAGGTACATGCCCTCGACTGGAATCGAACCTGGGACCTTTCAGTCCGCAGGCCAACGCTCTATCCACTGAGCCAAACCGGTTTCGGCCATAGTTTTTTTTAAACTATAGTCCGGCCCTCCAACGGTCTGAGGGCCAGTGAACTGGCCCCCTGTTTAAAAAGTTTGAGGACCCCTGAGTTAGGGGTTTATTTATTCTCCAACACACAAATACATAGACACCCAAAGGACATAGGCTGTTACAGACTTTTTTGGTTGTTGTAAATGACTTGTGCATCTCTGAACTTGGAAAGAGAAATATAGCTCTCATGAACATGGAGAATTTTAGCAACAAAGGAATTTTAGCTATTCTTAGCTGTAATAGGAGCATGTAATTGAGAGAATGAGAAAAAAAAAGTAATTTCTCTAGCATGATTAGAGGGAGAAATGGTTCTTTTTTCTCTTGAGTAAAGCATTTGTAAAAAAAAAAATGTTCTGGACCCTGGAGTTGGGAATTCATTATGCCAGCATCTTGCAATAATATCCTCTTTCATCTATAAATCTCACAGCAGTTTATGGGCACTAATTAAGTTTCACCATAATCATCCAACTCACACTGAGTTTTATTTACTCCCTTTTTACTGAGGAAAACTAGGGCAGAGAATCTTTACAGAATTACTTGAAGTTACAAAGCTGGGATTTGAACCCAGCACCCAAAGACTCTAGCCCAGAGAGGGAGACCCACATGGTGGCTGGCAGTTGACTTCTGGCTGATGTTCTGTGGAGCAAGAAGTGTTCTCTAGCAACTCTGAGAGGAAGGAATAAGCTAGGAGTTCAGGGAGGGTCTAGGGCAGTGGTTGGCAAACTGCGGCTCGCGAGCCACATGCGGCTCTGTGGCCCCTTGAGTGTGGCTCTTCCACAAAATACCGACTTCTGCGCATGGGCCACGAAGTTTCAATCGCACGGTACATGCGCGCCTGCACATGGTATTTTGTGGAAGAGCCGCACTCAAGGGGCCAAAGAGCCGCATGTGGCTCGCGAGCCACAGTTTGCCGACCACTGGCTAGGGGACCAAGAGCGGGGACCAGAGATCCTGACGTACAATGACGGTACAAGTAGCTGGTGTCTCTTACCACCACACGACTGTCTTAGCTTGCCATGCTCCTGAATGGACACATGGGATTGCAATTTATACCAACCACTCTAGGTTCTTCTTGAGAGGTAGGCTTGAGAGGAGTCTATGTGTGAATGGGACATTGCTGTAGGGGCTCAAAGGGAGTGGTCTGGTATTGGTGGACAGAGAGGCTGGGCAGTTACCAAGTGAAGGGGCACCAGGGAAAAAATCCAAAGGGCAACAGGTTATATGATTTTTCTCACTTGCCATCTGGCCACTCGTTAAAAAGAAGGAAAGAACAAAGCACAGGCTAGGTCTGAGATCAGTTTTAGATGGCCCATTGGAACGGCTACACCTGACACATACCCAGGGACAGACTTGTCCGGGACCCAAAATAAATCTATCTGGGCCTATCAGAACTTTTGAATTGAGACTAAAAGTAATTTAAAGTAACTCACTTTCTCTCTTCATACTTTTTTTTAAAAGAAAACGTGTGTTTTAAAAAAAATATTTTATTGATTTTTTACAGAGAGGAAGAAAGAGAGATAGAAAGTTAGAAACATCGATCAGCTGCCTCCTGCACACCTCCTACTGGGGATGTGCCCGCAACCAAGGTACATGCCCTTGACTGGAATTGAACCCGGGACCCCTCAGTCCACAGGCTGATGCTCTATCCACTGAGCCAAACCGGTTAGGGCCTCTCTCCATACTTTATTAAGGTGAATTTTTAAAGATGGTGCATGAGTATTTTTACATAAATGGAATTAGAATTAAAAGAGGGGAATGAGCCCTGATCAGTCTGCACTCAGAAGGGTCGCAGGTTTGATTCCTGGTCAAGGGCACATACCTTAGCTGTGGGTTTGCTCCCCACTCTCAGTCAGGGTGTGTGCAGGAGGCAACCAGTTGGTGTCTCTCTCTCACATCGATGTTTCTCGCTTTCTCTCTCCCCTTCCCTCCCTTCCACTCTCTCTGAAAAAGCAATGGAAAAAATATCCTTAGGTCAGGATTAACAAAACAAAACAAAACAAAACAAAACAAACAAACAAACAAACAAAAAGAGGGAAATGACCGGAAGCCCCAGTAAAGGCAGGTGCAAATTCTGGGTGTCAAATATGGTCTCACAGGCTCAAAAATTATTATATTTCTGAGGTTAAATCAAATATATAAAATTAGCAGCAAATCATTAATTTCTTCAGATAGAGTTACATACCAAATTGCAGAGGAATTTTTTAGCACATCTAAATCTGAAAACCAGTTATTATATTCACAATGCTAAGTTACAAGCAGGAGGCAGAGGCAAAAAAATTCTGATTGCTATCAGTTTTTATTCCAAGATGCAGTTCTTATTCTAAAGTTCACTAAAAACAAGTAGTTTACCAAGGACCTAGTCCCTAACTCTAACAGGAAAATAATATAAACCAGAAGTATATAAATTATATCTTTTCATTAAACAATATTAAAATAACTGCAAGAAACAGTTAATATGGGATGTTTACATGGATGTTTATAGATGAGATTATACTGACATTCTTGCTCCCGCCAATGTTTTGGAAAATGTTAAGATAATATCCATATTAAAAAACATGCAACAAAAAACAAACAAACAAACAAAAATCATATAGCAAAAGGAGTCCAGCTAGCATTCTATCATCCACATGTCAGTAAGCTACAATATAATAATAATTGATGTTTATAATTTGGGGGTTATTAAAAGATCCCCAAATACCTTTTAGGTAATCAAAGAAAGATACAATGATATTTGATAGTTTTTAATCTTTGAAATAGTTTTTTTAAAATATATTTTTATTGATTTCAGACAGGAAAGGAGAGGGAGAGAGAGATAGAAACATTAATGATGAGGGACAATCATTGATCGGCTGCCTCCTGCATGCCCCCTACTGGGGATCAAGCCTGCAACCGGAGCAAGTGCCCTTGACCGGAATCAAATCCAGGACCCTTCAGTCCGCAGGCTGATGCTCTATCCACTGAGCCAAACCGGCTAGGGCATGAAATCGTTTTAATGGTGAGTCACTTTATGGTCCTTTGGGTCTTGAAAATTTGGGAAATCACGTATGGTACAGAAGCATCCTCTTAATCAGAACATGCATGGACCAGAAAAGCCCGTTCTCTGATATTGCACTCTAACAGACACTGTGAAAGAGGAAGCGTGGCCAGGGCAAAACATTTCCTCTTTTTATAAACCTTGAACTGAGTTTGTCCCTCACCAATTACATAGGGTCCCTCGGGTCTCAGAACTTTCCACCAGCCATTAGGTCTCTATGGCGATGCACCTGGCCTCCGAACCGGAGCACAGGTGACAAGGAGGAGGCCGGCCCCGGGAGACGCGGTGGGGAAGGTCTGGCTGCAGAAAACCACGCAGGGTCTTCTTGAGCTTCTGGAACTGACTGCCCAGACTGGTCGGAGCCCCGGGCAGGCCTGCCCTCACTGCCCACCTGTCCAGCTTTGGAGGCGGGGTGCTTTCCATGGGTGTCCAGGCGGGGACGGCGGGCTCCCTCTGGGACCCCACTTCCGCTGATGCTGAAGTATCGCCCTCTTGCGCCCTCAGAGGCCATGACTCAGGTGAAGGGAGCCCATGTTGCCCAGCCCTGTGGTCTCATGCAGCCCTTCAGCATCCCGGTTCAAATCACACTCCAGGGCGGCCGGCGGCGCCAGGGAAGGTGAGTCACCACCAGGACCCCCCACACTGTAAGGGGAACCCTGCCGCACAAGTGGCTAGTCTGGCTACGTCCTCCGAGGGTGCCCACTTGTTGTGCTTCCCAGGGGACCCCGGAGGCGTCCCCGGCAGCGCTGACTAGTGTGGGCTGCATCCTTTCTCCAGGTTGCAAGTTCTTGGAGGCCGGTGCCCTTTCAGACTCATCTCTGGCTCCCCAGCTCTAGATCATGGCCCAGCACAGAGGTGGTGCTGGGTGGAGTGAGAAATGAGGAAATTACTACCGGCATTTGGTCCCATGGTTGGAGCATGCTTCGGCCTTGGAGTCACAGGCCGGGGTTCAAATCCCAAATCCCACCAGCTCCACCCCTTAACCAGCTGGACGATTGTGATGTCTGTGGGCAAGTCACTTAATTTCTCTCTGCCTCACCCCCTGTGGATGAAATGGGCATAGTAATAGGGGATAGTAATCGTTGCTGCATGCCTTAGCATGCTCTCTACATGATGCCATCATACTGTCTATACTTTTAGCCATTGTTATTAACCACCTTAAGGGGGGAAGTGAGATAACTTACTTCTTTAAAGATTTTTAAATTGATTTATTTAGAGAGAGAGAAAGGCCGAGGGAGAGAGAGAGAGAGAGAAAGAAACAGCAATGTGAGAGTGAAACATTGCTTGGCTGCCTTCTGCATGCCTCCGACCAGGGAATCAAGCCTGCAACCTGGATATGTCCCCTGACCAGGAACTGAACTAGCAACCTTTCAGTATGCAGGAAGACTCCCAACCCACTGAGCAACACTGGCCAGAACTCTTCTTTTTTTTTTCTTAGACCCTCACCCAAGGGTATTTTTTCCCCCACTGATTTCTAGAGAGAGTGGAAGGGAGAGAGGAGGAAGAGAGAGAGAAATATCCCCCGAACGTGCCCCCATCAGGGCTGGGAACCTGCAACCAAGGTATGTGCCCGGGAATCAAACCAGAGACCCTTGGATTTGTGGGCCAATGCTCTAAGTACTGAGAAAACCCTGCCAGAGCCAGGGCACTTCTTAAAGGGAGAAAGTGAGATATTTAAGGTGTCCTGAGGACCTCTTTTCTCCCCAGGGGAATGCAAAGCAGAGGGGCTGTGAGTCTTAAGCTTCACTCCCCCTGCCTGTCCCTGGGTTTGGGGCAGAGGAAATCAGAAGTGGGCACCAAAGTTTAGAGAAGAGCAATGCCGGAGAGTGTTTGAGGAATGGGAGATTCAAAGCTTCCCAGCCTACTCCTGGGAGGGGTACAGTTCACTCTAGCCAAAAACCTGGGTGATTTGTTAGTGGTTGAAGTAGAGTTGGGAGCTGAGGAAGTGGAAACAGTAAACATCACCACGGTCATCACATTACCCACATCCGTCACCCTCTAATTACACTCAAGGGTATTTGAGAGAGAGAATGCAAGAGAGTGAGATATCGGGGTTTGACGGATGTGGGAGGTTGGGGGAGGAAGGAAGACAGACCAAAGAGGAAAGAGATAGAGGCAAAAACACTTGTCTCTTAGAAATGAACTAGTGCTTTTGTGAAAAGACAATTAAAGTGAATCACTGTATGGCAGACAATCAAACAGTAAACTTGCAATGGAACAAGTACTTAACATAATTAACCAGATAGAAGAGCAGTTGTGTCCTCCCGGAAGCAATACAGTATCCTATATTCATTTCTGAAATGCACAATTGGATTATTGCTCTCTCCTCTTACCAAACTTGATGAACCACGTTGACTTAAAACCTCATTTCCTGTTTCAAAAGAAGTTATTAAATAATTACAAAAATAGAAGGGTAGCAACAATTACCCAAATCTCTTCTGCAACATAAATAAATTACAGGGAAATATTACTTTAACATAACACAATGCTTAGAAATTCCATACACATGTGAAACTAGTGTCAGATGAATTATCAAGCTTTGATGAGCCACAGCTTCTTTCTAAGGAACACGTTTTGCGCATGTTATAATGTTGGAGGGAGTGGCTGCTGGCATCTGCAGGGATCACAGCCAGATGAGCATGTTCAAGGGCTTTGAAACTGAGTTTGCTTCAGGCTAAGCCAGAAGGCACCTGTAGTATCAGGAGTGTGAGAGTCAGTTCTGTCTGCAGGGGAGACAGCAGAAAGGGGGTGGGTACTGCCTTGACTGAATAAAACACCTCCTGGTAACACACTGGTTACAAGTGGATATGTATTGCTGGCAAAAAAGGAGTAAAAGTTCTGTTTACTCATCTCTGGCTAGAGAGCAAAATTAGATCATTCTTAAGTGCTTTGAGGTCCTTGGATGAAAGGTGCTTATAAATACCACAACAGTAATTACAGGGCTGTTTATGATCTCAGAAAACTTATTCAACAATAAGGAAATGATTGAGGAAATTATGGGGTCCTGGCTGGTGTTGCTAAGTGGTTAGAGCGTTGGTCCGAGAACCAAAGTGTTGCTGGTTCGATTCCAGGTCAAGGGCATATGCCTGGTTGTGGGTTCACTCCTTGGCCATGGTCAGGGCACGAGTTGATGTGTCTCTCTCACATCAATCTTTCTCCCCCTCTCTTCCTTTCACTCTATCTAAAAATCAATGGAAAAAAATATCCTTGGGTGAGGATTAACAACAACAACAAAATTATGGCATATCCTATTGTTGGAATATTATTATGTAGCCAATAGAAGAGTTACAAAGCATTGCTGCTGACATATTATTATGTTAAGTGAAAAAAACAAGATTAAATTTTTTTTCCAGTGTTTAAAATAATATAGAGGAGGGGAATGGCCCACTAAGTGAACAGTAGAATTGTGGGTGATATTTATTTTCTATTTTTTCAAATTTTATAAAACGAACATTACTTTCATAAATTCTTTGACATTTGTTGAGGCTTTCTTTATGGCTCAGTTGGTGGTTAGGTCTCGTAAATGTTCCATATATGTTTGAGAAGAATATATATTCCATGGAGCCTGAATCTCTACCATTATAGCTGCGTTTGTTTAGCTTAATATTTTGTTAAGCCTCTTAAAATGGAATTACCTCTGGGACTCAACTGCCTTGTGAGAGGGAACAGCTAATCAGGGAAACTGATCACAGGAAGTGGTGGGACTAAGGCAAACGGGAGAACACGCTCCTGTCCACAGGGGCAGCCTCTGCTCTGCGTGGCTGGCTGTTCATAGGCAGGAATGTGGACCTTGTGATGCAAAAAATATTTTCAGGGGGAATGTGCAATAATCCTGAAAGATAAGCAAGTTCATAACATTTATTTACATAAAACAAAAGCTACTTTTACAGGTAATTCTTTTCTAACCATTGATTAAACAGGTCTCCAAAGACTTCTACCAGGTAGCATTCCTTAGTTTTGTTTGTTACATTCAAGAAAAAAATTTATAACACACCATGTTAGCATGTTTAGATAGACTTTTCACCAAGTTCTGAACATGGGATCTCACTGTATTGCGTGGGACCTGCTCACAACCCTTAGGGAGGAGCAGATGGGATCATCCCTCCACCCCCCAAGGGTTGGTAAATGTTCCAACTTCTTTAGAACTGTCTCTTCCCCACTTCCTCCAAAGGACAGCCATTTCTACCTCAGGGAGGAAGAGAAATACAGACCACAATGGTGGAGACCCACCAGATGAGCACAAGAAGCTGCCGTCCAGTGCTGGGGAGGACCGAGCCATGCTGCTAGGGTTCACAATGATGGGCTTCTCAGTTCTAATGTTCTTCTTGTTTGGAATAACCATCCTAAAGCCTTTCATGCTCAGGTAAGAAATGGAGAAAGATAGACTCAGAATTTCCAGTTCAGATCAGTTACAGGCACAGTGGTGGAGAGGCGGGGGCTGGCTTTGGTTCCTGCAGCCCTTCTGACCGTGGTCTGGGACAGGGATGACAGACTCATTTGCTCCTCTCTCAGTGCTGGGAAGCAGCTGGGTGTGGAGCAAGAGGTGGTAAGAAAGTGAAAGACATTTCTTGTCTGCTCCCCAACTCCAATCTCAAAAATACTTCCAACAACGAATCCACAAATTAGTCATGTAGGTAATAAATCCTTCCCTTAACATGCAGATATCCTAGGGAAGGCTTAATTTAAGCCTTCTACATGAGCACAATACAAGTTTTTGAGTCTGAGTTTTTTGAGTTGGATAATGTCTACCTGGCACATAGTAGTTGCTCAGTAAATATGAGTCCCCTTTCTTTTCTTTTAATTAGTTTCCTTATTAGATACATGTAATAATAGTTACCATTATTAAATATATAATACTATAGGCCTGGTGCACGAAATTCTTGCACCGGGTTGGGTCCCTAGGCCTGGCCGGTGATCTGGGCTGGGCCGACTGGGGCCTTCCAGCTGCTGGCCAGGGTCTTCCTTCATTCCTCGCTGCTCCCCAGTGGTCAGCACACATCATAGCGAGTGATTGAACTTCCGGTTGAACTCCCAAGGGGATAATTTGCATATTAGGCTTTTAGATATAGATACGACAAATATACTGTTTTATTCTATTTAAAGCTAGAGCAAACCCATGATGGAAGGAAGCATTATTTTAATTTTATAAATGAAAAAGCTGAGGCTCAGAAAAGCCAAGTAACTTGCCTAAGGCAACAAAGCCAGGAAAGAATCTGTTTGTCATTCTGACATAAAGACTTCTGACCTCCTAAGACTTAAGCTTGCTGCAATGAGGGGACGGGGGGTGGGCGTTTTGATTAGGGCAGGACAGGCGCTGTTTAAATTTGGAGAATGGCTCACATAACATGAAGTGCTTTGGGGGCGGGCCGCCCTGGGAATGCAAGGGCCATGGGGAATGAAAAGGCAGGTCTAGAAGTTCAGTGAAAAGGGGTCACAGAAAAGGAATTTTTAAGATTCATCTCCCGCCATTCCGGTATTAACATTATTCAGGCAATAATGTGGAGGTGACCATCCACCAGAGTGCACAGTCCACTCTTAGAAGGCTCCCAGGGGGATTTTCTACCTGGTATGAGCGCCAGAGAATCTGTTCTGCTCTTGGTCAACCTACTTGTTTTAACTCAACGGACACCAGGCATCCTATATCTGGTTGTGTTGCTTTTGTTGCTTTTGCTGCTAAGAAGCTCAAAGTCAAATTTGTCCATTTCCCATAATTATAAGGGATCTTAGGATCTGCGGGTCACATGTTTGCAGCTCACTCTTGACTTCATTCTAGCTTTCTACTTTCCTTTTCCTGTTACTCCACTTTATATCTACCTATATATATAATTTCTACCTAATCTGCATTACATATGTAAACTATGTAATATCTATGTAAATGGAATAAATATGTGTGTGCACGTGTGTGTGTGTTTGTGTGCATTGCAGGTTAGAATATTTTTTAAAAATGTGATATATTTGGGAGATGGTTTGAGGATACCACCTGCAAATTGGCACCAAGCTGTTGCTCATATTTAAAATTTACTTTCTAAGCATTTCTGGAAATTGTTTAAAGGAATTTAGGGAGTGCTTATCTCTCCCTTGCCTTGAAATCTTATGCCACCAGAGATAAGTTTCACACCCTAATGGGTGATAGTTACACCTATGCTCACTCCCTTATACTCACATTCCTCAAATGATGGATTGTGCTTATTTGTAAACAAATACACACACAATGCTATTGAAAGAACAGGCTAATTTTTTTTAGTCCTAAATACACCCCTGGTTCCACCTGGGCTCATGCATAGGAAAGAATATCCTGCTTTCTATATTGGAGCTTCTTGAAATCTTCGAGGAAGGTTCAAGTCATACTTCATCTATCACATAGTGAGCATTTAGAGCTTAAGTTCTAACTAACACAGATAAGCATATAACTATAAACAGTTAAAGATGCCTCATCTAAATAAGTATAGAAATTAATTTTGTGTAAAAGCAGGCCAATGCTAAACCTGCAAGAGAACCTTTCCATTTTTGTATTTTCACTTGCCCAATATTTTACTGTTGTAGGCCACATTCAGTAATTTTTTAAAAATTCCCTGGGCCTTAAGATCATGTTAAATTGCATCATGTGTCTCAGGTTTGTTATATTAATAAAGCGAAATGATGACTGATGGTCAAAGATCGTAATGGGAGTGCACTGGTACAGCTAGCTAAACAATGCCTTTCAAATAGTCTGACTTAGGGTTTGCTACTCTAACTCCTTGTTATTAAGGCACCAGGAAATAAACACAGGGACCCACCTGGAGGTGAGTGTGAGGATGCATGAGGAGCTGCTCCTATACATTCAAAACATATCCTCTTACCCTCACTTGTTCTCTACTTAGTTCATACATATATGTCCATTCTCTTCAACCTCACCTCAGTCTTCACAGGAATTTTATCTACCACTTCTCATTGCACCTATGACATTCTGTGTTTGTCACACATACCCAAATTCTCAAGGAATGTTTTCCAAATAAAATTTAATTCAGCACAACACTTACCGAGCCTTCACTATGTGGGAGGCATTGTGCTTTAGGCTTTGAGGAACATAAAGATGAATAGCATGTAGGTCCCGACCTCAAGGAATTACTGACAGCAAAAGCACAGTGAGTTTCCAGTGAGAGATTGCTTGCACGATTTCCATCGCCTCTTTGGAAGTAGAGCAGGTAAATGGAATTGTGCTTTGTTACCAGAACTTTTGGAGGCTGTGTTGACTAAGAGCCCTATGGTTGGACTTCTTCCAAAGGGTGCATTTTAGGATGATGAGGCATTATGATATGATTTCTTTGAATATATTTTTGTTGACTTCAGGGAGGAAGGGAGAGGGAGAGAGATATAGAAACATCAGTGATTAGAATCATTGATCAGCTGCCTCCTGCATGCCCACACTGGGGATTGAGCCCGCAACCCGGACATATGCCCTGACCGGGAGTCGAACCATGACCTCCTGGTTCAGAGGTCGACGCTCAACCACTGACTGAGCCACACCAGTTGGGCAGACAATACAATTTCTGAATGTGGATCTTGTTGGTTGCAGTACTTAGGGTAATATTGATCAAAGTATGGTTCTCCAAATACATGTATCTTAAAACTGTTAAATAGATTCCTGGGCTTCAACTCAGATAAACTGAACCTGAATCTCTGGGACTGAAGCATAGAATCCACATTTTAAAAAAATATATATACTTTTATTTCAGAGAGGAAGGGAGAGGGAGAGATAGAAACATCAATGATGAGAGAGAATCATTGATTGGCTGCCTCCTGCACACCCCACACTGGGGACTGAACTCTCAACCCAGACACGTGCCCTGACAGGGAATCGAACCATGATGTCCTGGTTCATAGGTTGATTGATGCTCAACCATTGAGCCATGCCTGCCAGGCTGGAATCCACATTTTAACAAGCTCTTCATTCTAACAAATTCACTCAGGTGATTCTGAAGTTTGAAAACCATTGATGTAAGGGTTGGTGTAGTGAGAAATATGCCAGGAGGGTCCTAATTGAGAAGGGACTTGGAAATTTGCTGCTATTTATTCCCTGTCTTTGTGTCCTCATTGTGTGCCTTCTATGATGGTCCTACATTACCCGAAATAGACAAATGCCTCAGGTTAGCACATTAGAAATATAAAACTAAGTTTTCTAGAGGGTGAAGATCATGATTTTATTTTTTTCCAAATTGAAGCACTCAGAGAGAAGAAGCGAACTGCACTGTTATCCACACACGTATCACGGATGATGGGATGGACTGCGCTTTCGCCTGTGGTGTGGACTGCCAAGGTCAGGGCAAGTACCCCTGTCTTCAGGTGTTGGTGAACCTCACCCATTCGGGCCAGAAAGCTCTCCTACATTATAATGAAGAGGCTGTCCAGATAAATTCCAAGGTGATATTCTAATGAAAAAGTTCTAAATACAGCAATCCTTCCATGCCAGACTGTCACCAGCACGGTGCAGTACCCTGGGCCACCTCTAGGGATACATCTGTTTCCTTCCAGTGAATGTTTTGTAGTGGTCAAATCAGGATAAATGAAGCAAAAAGCATTCTTGGAGGGAAAATGGGGTAAATAGAAAGGGGAGAGATTTCAATTTCATAAATTGGTGTCTAGAATTTATAGGCTGAGCCAATGACCAGAGTCATTTCTGGGCAGTCTTACTTTTGGAGGTCCCACTCCTTATTTTATCACAATCCACCTTAAATCAAGCAAGTAACTTTTCTTTGAAGAAAATATGTTTTTATTCATTTAAGACTGAGGAAGGAAGGAGAGAGAGATAGAAACATCAATGATGAGAGAGAATCATTGATCGGCTGCCTCCTGCACACTCCCCACTGGGGATCAAGCCTGCAACCCAGGCATGTGCCCTGACTGGGAATCGAACCGTGACCTCCTGGTTCATGGGTCAACACTCAACCACTGAGCTACACTGGCTAGGTGCAAGTAATTTTTCTTATCAGAGAAATTTAAAGGATTATTATAATTTTGATTTTATTTATTTTTGTTAATCCTCACCTGGAGATATTTTTTTCTATTGGTTTTTAGAGAGTGGAAGGGAGGGGTAAAGAGAAATAGAGAGGGAGAAAAACATTGATGAGAGACACATGGATTGGTTGCCTCCAGCACATGTCCTGATTAGGGCTGAGGATCAAAATTGCAACCCAGGCATGTGCCCTTGATTGGAAATCAAACCTTTTACCCTTTGGTGCATGGGCCGATGCTCTAACCATTGAGAAGTACTGGCCAGGGCAATTTTGATTTAATAAGTTGTTCAATTGGTTCAGATGATTTAAAGTGTACCTTTACACCTAACAAAGTTGAGTTAGATTAGTTGACACCTTACATTTCGTTTGTCTTCACTTAATCACTAATTTTGATCTGATGGTTTGTTTTCTATTTCGGATGTAGTAATTTTTAAGGTCTCAAACATTTTTAAAGGCCATTGGCACAGTGCTCGGAGTGCCAAGTGGGTGTGGTAATAAACCCCAAGCTTTTTTTTTTTTTTTAAATCAGCTGATAGAGAGGTCCCTTATCCACTGGCTCTGCCTCCCAGGAAACAGAGCCCAGGTGGGGCCCCGCTGTGTGGGCCCAGGACAAAAGCCTCAATATGCTAATCCGTTAGGGAGAGATTTTACTGCAGGACATCAAGACAAAGACAATAGAGGGATCAGTAGGTGTTGAAAGCACATAGAGCTCAATAAATATTTGTTGAATTGACAAATGGATTGACTTACTGTCCAGGAAGAGGCTGAGGACCTGCATGTCAGGAGCGTGGTCCTTATGAAGTTGGCCATGGTCTCTTCTGCAGTGTCTTTTTTTAAAAATTAAATCTTTATTGTTCCGATTATTACAGTTGTTCCTCTTTTTTCCCCCCATAGCTCCCCTCCACCCAGTTCCCACCCCACCCTCTGCCCT